TCGGGTGCCCGATAGGGCACTTCCCGGCGCCGCAGGCGCGTCAAATTTGGCACGAAGGTGCCTTATGGCGATAGAACACGAGGGCCGGTGACGGTTCGGCAAAAAGTCTACAGAGCTGGGGTCAAAACTGACCTCGACTGACCGGCGCCTTATATGGGCTATATTACGAAAAAAAAATTCCTCCGACGACCCCCCTTGAAATTTTGTGAGGTGGTAGGAGAACACCTTGGGGTGTCACAAAAAACTCGGCATATCTGGGAAAACTTCGTAAAGGGGTCAAAACTGACCAGTTGTATTTCCCTATATAATCTTTGTATTTTATGGGAAAAACAGAGGGTCATTTCAACGCAGACTTTAGGGTACTTAAACTCAGTATATCTGACTAATTTTTTGCATACTCTTAGGTGAATGGTTTGACCTTTAGGGAAAACTGTCGGTTACACTCAAAGCCCTCGACGAGGGCTAAAAAGTGACCGCGAGTGAAATTCTCTTTATATGAGCTCTAATACGAAAAAAAATTCCCTATATAATCTTTGTATTTTATGGGAAAAACAGAGGGTCATTTCAACGCAGACTTTAGGGTACTTAAGCTCAGTATATCTGGCTAATTTTTTGCATACACTACTATAGATGACTAGGCCGTATGGAAAAACTGTTGGTCAGACTCAAAGCCCTCGACGAGGGCTAAAAGATGATCTTGAGTGAAATTCTCCTTATATGAGATATATATATATAAATAAATTGACGAACGATCCCCTTAATATTATGTGACGTCGTAGACCGACCCTGGAGGCTAACAAAAAAACTTTATTCCCGTCGGAAACAGCCATTATAGTTGTTAAATATGTTCATATACCGTAATTTCTTATATAAGCATAGCAACTGTTTGTAAAAAAAAAAAAAAAAAAAAGACATACGTCATACGTTCAGTTTTCAAGGGAGGTAACGTTTTTTTAAATTATTATTTTTCAAATAATTGTATACTATTTTAAACAGATACAGAAAATGACGAAGTATAGCATTTGTTTTAGTACAAAATTAAGTTGTTAATTTAGTTACGTATCCCAATTAAATAAATAAATAAATTTCAAAAGGCAATGTAATAAAAACTATGAGATGTACTGTTCATGGAAGCTGTGTAGTTCTAATTCCATTTTACTTATACATTGCGTACTTTCCGATATTTCTCTGCGAACGGTATTTAAATGACAAACTAAAACATTTTTTTCTAAAGTTAGCATTACTGTTTAAATTAAAGCACTCAACACCAAATCCATCGCTAAATAATTAAGTATTCAAATTCTCAAATGTTATTTAAAAACCTAAGCGAAGCTAGGCAGTATGCCTAGTCTAATATATAAAGCTCAGTTCTGTAACGTGTGGCAAAAAAGTTTGTCGTTGACACTTCTATGGATTTAAGTGTTAGATTTTTTATCGTGCTCATAGTCTAAATTTACGAGTCAAAAAATTACCATTGAAAGTCTTTAAAAACAATTTTCATTCTATTTACTTAGAAGAATAATTTTCATTTATGAACACGACATAACATTTTTTTAAAGTGTATCGACGTTTATAAAATTTCTAAAATTGTGTCGGAAATGTATTGACTGCACAGTTACTTCCCTTTAATAAAAAAATTCTTAAGAAGAAAGAATTTACATTTTATTACTTTGTTTTTGGTGTTAAGAAAAAAAAAATAATTACATAATTAGCGGCGATTGATTAAGTGCAATGTCGTTAGGTATTTTTAACACTGCCTTTTATTTATTCTATACACTGAACATACTGTTCAATAATTTTTTTTTTTTTTTAAATCAATAACATTTAATAAGCCAGGTCCTACAAATCATATATGTTTATTTCTTTCCATTTACGGATAAGCTTGGAGTATTATCATTTTTGTTCACTAAATTGAAACAGGCGCGTCCGCCGGCGTCCCTGCACGGTTCGATTTGGCACCCTGGGCTATCATGTGAGCGCTATGCTGCATAATTTTGTTTTTAACAGTGCGATAGACTATGGATAAGAAAGGTTACTATAGTCTTTAAGTAAATCAAATCCGGGCGTCCTCCGGCACCCCGACAGGGTGCTATTTGGCGCCCCGGGCCTTCCGGTGTACGCAATGGTATCTACGTTCGCGTGAGTTCAAAAGACTATGAATAAGTTATGCACTTTGTCGTTTACTAAGTTCAATCAGGCGGTGACGTCATGGTGCGTCCTCTGGCGCCCAGACAGGGTGCTTTTTGGGGTCCCGGGCCTCCCGTGTTCGGTTTCGCGCCTACGTTCATTAAAGTGAGTGCAAAAGACTATGAATGAGATGGGGTACTATAGTCGTTTATTAAGTTAAAGCAGGCGATTCAGCCCCGTGAGCACTTTGCGTTTATATTCGCGTTAGTGTTTTCTTTGTGTTTAGGTTGGGTTTGCGTTAGTGGTTGCGTTTTGATTTGGTTCGATTTTGTTCTTTCTTTTTTCGTTTTCGTTTGTGTTTTATTTTCTTTGGGTTTGTGTTTGTATTTGTGTTTGAGGTTGGTTTTGCGTTTGGATTTGGTTTGTTTTCGTTTGTTTTTTCTTTTGTGTTTTTTTCTTTGGGTTTGTGGTTGGTTTTGCGTTTGGATTTGGTTTGTTTTCGTTTGCTTTTTCGTTTGTGTTTTTTTCTTTGGGTTTGTGTTTGTGGTTGGTTTTGCGTTTGGATTTTGTTTGTTTTCGTTTGCTTTTTTCTTTGTGTTCGTATTGGTGTTTGTGTTTGTGGTTGGTTTGTTGTTAGGTTTTTGTTTCCGTTTGTATTTGTAATTGTGTTAGCGTTATGTTTGCGTTTTGTTGTTTTGGTTTTGGTGGGCAATGCCAGGTTTATGATGATTACTAAACACACAGGTGATGGTCTTTAACAGAAAGGTTTTCACAGAAGCCAGAGCAGGGCCTGGCCGGGACGGCTAGTATATATATATGTTTAAATTGATACAATTTTTGTTTTGCCGTTCTACATTGTGTGTTTTTTCTTATTTCTTCAGAGTGCTACTTTCAATTTATTTTACATCATAGCGAAGTAATGACATACAGCTAGTAATTATATATATATATATATAATACACGTATATAGAACGTGTTAAAAATTCGGCGCCTCTGCCGTAGAGTCGGTGGTGGGTTGTTCCAACTTGTGGTGAAGGGGTAGGAGGAAGGGCATGCAGTACATTTAACATCAATATGCTTGCGGATTATCCCAACAAAAACGTCGTTTATCCTGTAAATTAGTGTAAACCAAATGTAGGCTATAGCTAACTACGTACTCGATTTTAAGCAACAACTCTTTATGGATGTTGATGACATGTTATCTATATTTCTAAAGTTAGTGGCACTGCTGTTAAGAACTCGATTTGGTCCAATTTAAAAACACGTTTTTAAGTTACAAAATAAATACCTATTTTAGAAATGTTAAATATTTAGTTTTCCAGACACCAATTTAGAGTTATGTACAAAACTAAAACTTTAATACTGATTTACAAAAATCAAAATTACATTAGAAAAATATATAAGTTGCTGTTCATGTTTGTGGTTAGGGTTAGCTTTTGAGTTAGATTACTGTTAGATTAATTTTCTTAAACGTCACTATTTGATTATAGATATTTAACTGGAATTTAATATACGAGCCGACCCGCTGCGTATCATACGCCGCTATTTATTTGTTTTTTTTCTACTTTTCAGTAATGTATAATTTGTGAATTCAACAGTACCAATCAGTGTTTCTTCCAGACTTATTTCTCCGGGGGGGGGGGGGGGGGTCACTTGAAATCTTCGGGGGGGGGGGGCGGTAAACTTTCTTCGGGGGGGGGGGGGGGGGCGGACACTGTTAAAAGTATATATTTTCTATATAAATTATATAAATTTCATTTCGTTCGGGGGGGGGGGGCGGTAAAAAAATTTCGGGGGGGGGGGGGGGGGAGATGCCTGGAAGAAACTCTGGTACCAATGCTGCCACTGAAAATATTTGCTTAAAAACACTAAACCCCCCTCCCCCCCCCCCCCCCACGTGAAAGCAGCCTAGCAGCCTCCTCTTAGTTACCTCCTCTAAGTTCAAAATCGTTTCAAACTAAATTATCTGCCCCTAATAGCCGTCACCAAACCCGTCTCTATGATTGTAAAATGTAAACAGCGTGAACCACAGCTCACCAGAGGGGGTGGTGGGTGGTAGCGATAGACAGGAAGAGAGAGGACTGTAAGGCGCGCTTGCAGCTTGTTTTCTAACGGCTCCCAGAAGAGAATTATATATATAGATTCCCAAAATCTATACAGCGCCGGGTATTTAATTAACACACAAGTCACGGTCATTTAAAGATAGGTTTTTCACAAAGACCAGTGCAGGGTCTGGCCGGAACGGCTAGTAAAACACACACACACGCATGCACGCACACGCACGTACACACACACACACACACAACACATGTATGTATATAGGGGTCCCGAAAAAACTGAAACGAGGGGAGGGGGGGGGGCTTTTTTCTAGTTTTACCACTGCTCTGAATACAACTGTTCATAACTTAATTATTTTTAACAGGAATTTTATAATGAGGTTACTTGGGTAGTGAATGCAGGAACTACGAGTAATGGATGGTTTGGCCAGTTACGTCTAAACAAAAAGCAGCCGTAAGATTTCATTGTCTAAAGCCAATATGTCCAGTCTGTTCAACAGCACTAACCAGCGGTACTGACATAAAACTAAACAATGACTTCATTAACTTAACTTAAGCGACAATGAAAAACTAACCAAATCGCATTGAATCTTATTTCTTAAATGTATCCAGATTCTTCTAAATTTAGAACAGAGTCTAACCGTGTAATTTACGACAAACTTAAAAGGTTTTAGAACAGAAATATAAAAGATAACCCATTTAGCCCAGGGTTATATTTGTAAGCTAATCCTAAACCCGCATCAAACTCCCATTAGGATTGCTATAAATAATCTACACAATTCGTAGAGGAATCCAACATGGCCGCTTACCCTTAAGTACCATTAAAGGAAGTCTATAAAGCCGATTGTAGAGATTACCTCCAATAAAACCCGCCGTCCATCACCAAAAGCTCAGAGAAGCTGTTGGTGGTTTCGGGATTTCAAGCAGACGACGATTGCTCCGCTCCATAACGTCATAGGAAAATGGACTGCAGAATGGTTGTGTTATCAGGGAGAAAGTGCTGCTTCGTTTTATTTTTGGTATGTGTAAGTAGACTTTGTAACCAGATGTTGACGTCTGCCATTTGATTTCATATATTTATTTAAAATGTGTAACAAAACTAGCATTTTTCAGACCATTGAAATTGTCTAAACTTTGTTTCGTTGACTCCTGTTTTAAACTTTTTTATTTCCCAGGCATTGTTTAGTGTAATCGGCGCCCAGTACCCCTCGGCCTATAACTACGGCTATCCCAGTGCCAACCCAACAGGCTACCAGCAGGCCGCCTACCCCCAGGCCTACCCCCAGGCTTACCCCCAGGCCTACCCCCAGGCTGGGTACTCCAGCATGCAGCGACGCTTGGATCAAAGGGACGTCAAGAACTGCTCCGATATTGACTGCAAGCAGGACGTAAGTCACTTACTGCTCCGATATTGACTGCAAGCAGGACGTAAGTCACTAAATGCTCCGATATTGACTGCAAGCAGGACGTAAGTCACTAAATGCTCCGATATTGACTGCAAGCAGGACGTAAGTCACTTACTGCTCCGACATTGACTGCAAGCATGATGTAAGTCACTAACTGCTCCGATATTGACTGCAAGCAGGACGTAAGTCACTTACTGCTCCAATATTGACTGCAATTAATATGTAATACATAGTTCTATGTTTTTATCTGCTATTATTATTTTTATACCACTAGTCTAAACCATCTTGATCATCTTACCTCCACCCCACAACATCCAAACAATTGTGTTCATCTCCCCCTACACCCCTTGCACCACCCCACCATTAGATTCACTTTCCCTCCTACACCACCCCACCATTATGATCACCCCCCTGCACCACCCCACCATTATGTTCACACCCCCTGAACCACCCCACCATTATGTTCACCCCCCTGCACCACCCCACCATAATGTTCACCCCCTGCACCACCACACCATTATGTTCACACCCCCTGCAGCCCCCACCATTATGTTCATCTTTCACCAGGAGTGCTGTGTTGAGACTCCCAGAATTAACGTGTGTGTTCCAATGGTCGTCTCCAACTTCTCTGACCCAACAAGTAAGTTTCTGCCACACTTTACGACACACGTCGACTTCTATTATAGGACACACTTTGGCTTTTATTAAAACATTTATAGGACACATAGACTTTTATTGTAGGACATAGACTTACTTGACTTAGTCCTCTTTGCTCCTTATGGAACATAGGGCCTCCACCATTTCCTTCCATTTCTTCCGATCCCCGGCTATTAATTTTGCCGTCTCCCAAGACATCCCTGTTGGCTTCAGTTCTTCAAGAAGACTCCGCCTCCAGGTCTGTCTTGGGCGCCCTCTCTCCCGCTTTCCCTGGGGGTTTCACTCAAGCGCTTGGCGTGTAACATTTGGGTGAGCCTTTCGCAGTGTGTGACCCACCCAGCGCCACTTCCTCCTTCTTATTTGCACACCTATAGGCTCCTGCCTAGTTTTCCTCCATAGTTCTATGTTCGGCACTTTGTCCTGCCATCTCAGTTTCAATATCTGTCTAAGGCATCTATTCATGAAGGTCTGTATCTTTGCTGTGCTTGCTTTGGAGACTCCATACAGCAGAACTGCCTTGACATTAGAGTTAAATATCCTAATTTTTGTGGTAATGGAGATGGCCGAACTTTTCCTTATGGGTCGCAGAACTGTGAAAGCGCAGCGGGCTCTATTAACTCTAGCGCGTATGTCCTCCTCTGTGCCTCCCGTTTTGCTGATCTTGCTGCCGAGGTAGACAAACTCTTCCACATCATTTACCTGTCTTCCGTCTATTGTCACTGGGGCCTCTTGGTTATTGTTAATTCTCATCACTTCTGTCTTTTCTTTGTTGATCTTGAGACCTACGCGCTGAGAGATGGCTCCTAATGCATCAACTATTATAGGACATACATCGACTTTTATTATGGGACACACTTAGGGTTTATTATAGGACACAAACTTTTATTATAGGACACACATAGACGCTGACACACTGACACACCCTGACAAACCCTACATCGAATAGCGTTGATCAGATTCACACGATGTATCAAAACATTCCAACTTCCATTAAAATACATTTGACTGTGTCCTCTCCAGGCAAACGCTACTGCCAGCGGCTGAAGACTTGCCGCACTGACTTCGATTGTTTTGCCAGCGGTTGTTGCGTGTTCAACCCCTACGCCACGGCCGATTCTACCTGCCCCTACCCCCCAGACAGCTACAAGTACCCCCCCTTCTCTCGGCCCGGACAAATCGTCCCATCTGAGCTTGGGGTCTGTGTGCCTCTACAGAACTATAACGGTAGGTGCACAAACTATAACGGTAGGTGCACAAACTATAACGGTAGGTGCACGAACTATAACACAAACTATAACGGTAGGTGCACAAACTATAACGGTAGGTGCACGAACTATAACACAAACTATAACGGTAGGTGCACAAACTATAACGGTAGGTGCACAAACTATAACGGTAGGTGCACAAACTATAACACAAACTATAACGGTAGGTGCACAAACTATAACACAAACTATAACGGTAGGTGCACAAACTATAACGGTAGGTGCACAAACTATAACGGTAGGTGCACAAACTATAACGGTAGGTGCACAAACTATAACACAAACTATAACGGTAGGTGCACAAACTATAACGATAGGTGCACAAACTATAACACAAACTATAACAGTAGGTGCACGATTTTGGCCAGAAGGGAGCTAAGCGTGAAATCTAAGAGCGCGAGTTTAAGCTATTCTCCCCCTTTTGATGCCTCTATTCTGTACGTATCACACGGACAGTTTCTACATTGTGAGTGGACAGTGCATCTACAGTAAACATGTTTGTACGTCACCCCCCCCCCCCTCTTCCCTACATGCTCTATATTTCTATATATGTAAAGATTAGAAATAGCGAAGAAGCGCCCCCCCCCCCCATTTGAAAGGTACGGGGCTCTGCATCCAAGTCACTGCCCCTTAACAGTTGTTTAGGTGTCCCACAATTCATGTGGAAAACTGTTAAATAAGTCCGTAAAGCCATATAGCCTTTGATTTACTTTACTTCGACTAAGTATAATTGCAGTGATGCAGCTCAGAATAAGCTAATTTATTTTTCTACCCAGTATGGCGCCCCTCCCCCTTCCGGGGTCGACGCCCAGGCGTCACTTAGCTAAGCCACCACTGGAGCTGGGTTAAGATTAGGTACAATGATCAACTTTTATCAAAATGTGCTCACACAAATTGCGAAATAACTGCAAAATTAAATTTTAAAAACCTACCCCTTCGTCAATAATTCTCCCCCCCCCCCCTCTTGTCAGGAATGTGACGCCATTTATGAACGACGCCAAATCGAAAACTTACTCTTTCTATTTGAGGAAAGTTTGTACTGTCAAAGAGCTGCATGCTGTTGTTTTTTTCTTACATTAGTCACATTGACTGTCATCTGTCTAGATTGATCACATTACATGTCATCTAAGACATTACCAAGTCATGACAAAATTGTTCATAGTTTTGTATTCCGTATTTACAGGACCGATAACTCTGACCTACCCTCTCTTTCAGAAACCTGCATCATTCCCCTGGATCCAAAGGACACGAGGTGCCCATGTGGGACAAACAACGTGTGCTTCCCACACATCCCCGGAACCATTTTTGGTAGGTGCTTTTTATTAGCGGCTGGCAATTTTTGTTGTTGGTAGGTGGTTTTTATTAGCGGCTGGCAATTTTTGTTGTTGGTAGGTGGTTTTTATTAGCGGCTGGCAATTCTCGTTTTTGGTAGGTGGTTTTTATTAGCAGCTGACAATTTTTGTTGTTGGTAGGTGGTTTTTATTAGCAGCTGACAATTTTTGTTGTTGGTAGGTGGTTTTTTATTAGCAGCTGGCAATTTTTGTTGTTGGTAGGTGGTTTTTATTAGCAGCTGGCAATTCTCGTTTTCGGTAGGTGGTTTTTATTAGCAGCTGGCAATTTTTGTTGTTGGTAGGTGGTTTTTATTAGCGGCTGGCAATTTTTGTTGTTGGTAGGTGGTTTTTATTAGCAGCTGGCAATTCTCGTTTTCGGTAGGTGGTTTTTATTAGCAGCTGGCAATTTTTGTTGTTGGTAGGTGGTTTTTATTAGCAGCTGGCAATTCTCGTTTTCGGTAGGTGGTTTTTATTAGCAGCTGGCAATTCTCGTTTTCGGTAGGTGGTTTTTATTAGCAGCTGGCAATTCTCGTTTTCGGTAGGTGGTTTTTATTAGCAGCTGGCAATTCTCGTTTTCGGTAGGTGGTTTTTATTAGCAGCTGGCAATTCTCGCCATATGTCACACTGATGTAACACTCAATCAATTAGGATGCTTTTTACCCACTAAGGTGCTGTGTTTAAAAGGGCTGACCCTGAGATTTAGGACACACTGAAACGACGCTGTTGTCAACTACTGGCTTTATTGACATTACATCAAGCCATAAACGGCGATGTAGAACAACAGTAGAAAACAGTGTAGAAAACAGTAGATCACAGCAAACAAAAACCAAAGAAGACGAACTGTAGCCCTTCATTAGGTCTACATGTTCTACCTATAGACGTCACCCTCCGTGTCCACAGCAGCCTTGGGTCTGACTGACACGGCTACAGTCAGGAAACTACCCATAATCCCATGTCACATGACATGAAACACTGGTAAAAATCGCTCAAAGAAGAGCATGCAAAAAACAACATCAACAGTTGCGGTCCCACAGGGGCTGCAACCCAATAAATTACAACTTTATTACTTATCCCCCCTTGGCTGGTAACCATATGTGTCACACTGACATAGCCATGACAAGTGTCGTGCACTGTGGGAGTTTAAAAAAAACGTTGCACAATCACGGTCCAATATTTTTTTTTGTCTGCAAAATATGTTAAAAAACCTTATTTTTTCAGTTATTTAACGTTGAGCTAGATCTCCACATTGTTTATAAGCAGAGTTTCTTCCAGGCATCTCCCCCCTACCGAAGAAAGTCTACCCCCCCCCCACCCCACCCCGAAAATGAAATTTATAAAAAAGTTTTTCTTTATAAGATCTCCACATTGTTAAAATATATCCACATTGTTTATAAGATCTCCACATTGTTTATAAGATATCCACATTGTTTATAAGATCTCCACATTGTTTATAAGATCTCCACATTGTTTATAAGATCTCCACATTGTTTATAAGATCTCCACATTGTTTATAAGATCTCCACATTGTTTATAAGATCTCCACATTGTTTATATCCTGATCGAACTTTGTGTTGCAGGGACGTGCTACCCACGAGATGTAATTGAGAATCTGTATGGTTAAGTTAGTGTCTGGCACTAATACGACAGCTGGTGCCTGAAGTAAATATAGGTCAAGGACATACCCGAATAAAAATTCTTGCTGAAAGTGTTTCTATCTTGCGTTGGATTGATTTCTGTGTGGGTAGAAGATTAAATGTACTGAAACGTGATCTGAGGGATACACCTTAATTTATTTAAGTGTAAATAAAAAGTTACACGTTAATGATAGAGTTGAGCTTGCCGATGAGGAATCCAAACTTATTTTAGAATTCAATCAACCATCTTGGAACACACACTAAAGTATGGATTTTTTTTTCATCCCCTCCCATCCCCACTTTAAACAACCCCCAGCCTGCAGTAAGAACAGTTTATTTCAAGGGTTTCTCCAGGAGATACACCACCCCCCCCCCTGAAAGTCTCAAGGGTCCCCATGAAGAAAAATATCTGAAAGAAACAGTTTTTATTAACAATTATATGTTGTGAACACACAGACACGCCTTTCGGGTGATCCGATGCGTAGCGCAACATATAAGACAAACAATCACAAACTGGTTACAAAACAAGACTGAATAAAACAAGGCTCGTTGAAACTAAAAACAATTAATGATATCTACACTATCTACAATTAATAACACAGACTATTCTAAACACAAAATACACACGCTAGTAAAACTACCAGACAGTGGCTAAAAACGAGTATAAACCTAACCTGTACTAACCTTGGAGATCTGGGCGAAACTGAGGCAATCCTACACCTAATATACCCTTTCAAATAATTGTATTAATCGGACTATTACAACTCACATCACGAGAACTGAACAAGGACGAACGGGATAGGGTAACAAGTAACAACATTCACCCTCATCACTACAATCTTATGTCACAGTGTCAGTATATTGATGTTGAATGTGTATGAGCTCTAGGTATATTGATGTTGAATGTGTACAAGCTCTAAGTATATTGATGTTGAATGTGTATGAGCTCTAGGTATATTGATGTTGAATGTGTACAAGCTCTAAGTATATTGATGTTGAATGTGTACGAGATAAACGTATATTGATGTTAAATGTGTACAAGCTCTAAGTATATTGATGTTGAATGTGTATGAGCTCTAAGTATATTGATGTTGAGTGTGTACAAGCTCTATGTATATTGATGTTGGATGTGTACAAGCTCTAAGTATATTGATGTTGAAAGGGCGTACACTTGATACCAAACAACCCCCTCCACAAGTTAAGTTTTATCTCAGCCCCCCCCCCCCCCCCCCCCGTGAAGTCATATTTAATGGATGATGAATTTGGATACATGTAAAATGTTTTTAAAGGTTTTTGTTTTAACATTTGTGTTAACAATCAACCCCCACAACACAGTATCACCCTTGTAAACAACAGTAGCAATTGGTAAGCAGTGAGTTATAACAGCAGAGAACAGGTATAATAAATAATTGTTTTATTAGGCACATTTGCTTTCCAAAGTTTTTAAACAAATTTATAATAACATGGATGTTACAGTCAACAAGACAACAGCATGTTTGAATAGAAAAAAGCATACAGTAATTAGCTGCTTGATTACAGTCAGTTCAAGTATTTACATTGGCTAGAACTGCAGCAGGGCATGTGAAAGGAAAGATCAAATTGTAATACTAAGGAAGAGATGAGATGAAGCCAGAACAATTTGATGGAAATATGGCCAAAGCTTTGAGAATGAAGTTTTGAATGAATTTAAGTAGAAACTATTTTGGTTTAATGACTAAGTTAACCTTGAGAAACCAAATGCTTCCTCTTGCTCTACATATTTATATACAAAACATAAAGCCCTGCACCAGGTCTTATTTTCTACTCATACATGGGCTCAATGAGGTCTTATCTGCATTTAGGGTTCAGATGCTTCATTGAAAGTTCCTACAATTTCTAAAACAAAAAGTTTTCTGTATGTACTAAAAACAAAATGGAAGTAATCAAAGAAATTTTGAGATTCCAGAAAGATTTTGGACTGAACCATTTACATCATAACACTTTGAGCATGATCAACAGAAAACTGAATAGCATTCAAGAGGTGGATTTTTCAGTAGTAACAACTGGGGGTATAAAATAGGATCAAAGCCAAACCAGCTTCTTAAATGGAGTTCTCGATTAATTTATTTTAAATAACCACAAATAGGTAGTATTTAATAATTAAAAAAAATTACTTTTAAAGTCATACATTTTTTATACCTTATTTGAAATTTTTAAAAATGTATTCTGAGGGATACATTTTTCTTGAATAAAAAATATTATAAAAGTATTTAACTAAACTAAACATACTTTAATAAGTAAAACTATACTACAACTGCAAAATGTTCAAGAGTAATTTAATACAATTGTTTAACATTTTATTTTTAATCAAAATGATTAGAAAAGAAAAGCAAAAATGTAGCATTTGTACACAATGGCAATGTTTCACATAACTGAATCAGCAAGCAATGGTCACTATAAAAAAAAATTATTTGTCCTAAATATTCCCTATCAAAATAATTAACATTTTAAAAATTGTAATTGTAGGTACCGGAATCAATAATTTGATACTAGTTTGCCAAAAATTAACTTGTGACCAACTTAACAGCAGTGAGTATTTATTAGTAAAAATCAATGGGTTATTGAACATGTTAAACAAAAGAAATAGATGAATACTGATCTAGTGAGAAGAAATAATATAAGAACCCTAAACTTCAGCAGAGCCTAATGCTGTCTCTACCAAAGGTGAAAATTGTACATTTTGATTCAAAGTTTGGTAAACAAACACAATAGGAGATGAGGGATAGAAAACAAATATAATTTTCAATAGACTGACACAGATATTGTTTTGAAATGCTGAGATAACAAATATTCAAATCACTAGTATCAACAAAGATTGAAACAAGACATATTTTAGTAGGTAATCCTACAATTTTCTTAGAAGACAATTATATTGAATTCTTAGGAACTTTGTATTCTGTCAAAATCTTATTTTTACAGTATGTAATCAAGATGTCCTAAGGGAGTAGCAATATCATATTCATAACAAATGGTTGCTAGTTCTGGCAACAGCACTTTTATCCTTAACACACTGAAACAATGGCAGGCATCAAAAATGAAAAGAGAAACAGTGCCCTATTTAGACCCCTTTTTTAAATACAAATATACAAAATATAGATCCTGTTTGTGATGGTGAAGTGTACATGCACAAAGAAGTAGTCACAGCCACACACTCAGGCAAGTTCATCCTTAGTATATAGCAAGACCTCACTTTCTTCAATACACAAAGCTAAGCATGAGAGAGAAAAATGAGATGCCAAATCAAATCATATACTTGTACACCAAAACACCAGCCACCCCAACTAGCACTGCGATACCAAAGTAAACTGCAGGACGAAAATAGGGTCTGTAAGGACGCCATCTCTCGCTTTTTCTTTGACGCTCCTTCATTTCATCTAACTTCTTTTTGGTCAGACGTTTTCGTTCTTCCCTGATTCTGTGTCTCATTTCTTCTGCCCTAGAACACAGAGAAAATTACATTCATACTGGGTTGTAATCATTAGGAAGTCAATTGATTTTCAGTTTAAGGTAATTAGAAAAATAAAAAAACACTTAGTACTGTTATTAAATTGGTTTTTAAATATTACAAAGGCACAAATACATACTTAGCCCTTTCTTCTTCACTGTCCACAATGGCCCCATTGGCATCTGCAGGATTTTCAATTGGTCTTTCTACATCCTCATCTCTATCAATGAGTTTTTCCAGCTCTTCATCCACATTTTCATCATCTTTGAAATTATCCACAAGATCTTCATCCGATGAATCATCCTCAGGATCCCACCCTGAATGTCCTGGCTGTCTTTGAAGGGGGCTCTTTTTAGGAGGAATGGGGGGTGGGTTGTTGTCAATATTCTCTAACAAACTATTAACATTGGGAATCTCCAGTTTAGGGGGAAAAAGACTGGTAGTGCGTTCCGGGGGTGGAGGAGGTCCTTCCAAATGATTCTGTATACAAAGAATTATTTGAAGCAATTTTTTTAACTCAGTTTTTTATTTCAACTTGCAGGATTAAAGATAGGTCCAAACATTTACTTAATTGTGAGGAACAGTTTTAAAAAAAGGGATAATAACATAGATTCCCATGTTTTATTTATTAAAAAAAAACAACTTTTTAGACTATATTATTTTATTGCAACAATTAAGGAACCTACTTGAAGACTGTTCAGCCCAATTCCATTTAAAATAGCCTGAGCACCTTGAATAATGGCTAGGTAAGAAAACCTCAGCTGATCAGGAGTTTGAATCAAACCCATGCGATACGACCTCATCTGCAGGAGCATTTCTTTCACATTGATGCTTTCAAGGCTGCCCCGGTTTTCAACCTGGAAATTTAAATTTACTAGTCAAGACAGTTTTCATAAATCTTTCACTGGCAATAACCTTGTGAGATCTCTATTTTCTTTACTTCATTTTTTAAAAAGAATTAACAGTTAATGACTTATAATATATATTTGTATGTCAAACAAATTAAAAGTTGAAAACTATCAGCATTAACTTTTTTTTAGAAGCAAAATACCTTGTTGTTAAAGCATGTCTAATTCACTCTAAAGGAAAGAATAAAAAAAAAAAAAAGTAAAGCCTCCTCTTAACAGTGGCAAAAATCAAACAACCACTAACCAAAATAAGACATGAATCTACTAAACAAAAAGTGCCAGAACGTCCAATGCCAGCGCTGCAGTGAATGATGGCAGGTCCAACATTGCTCTCTAGGGATCCTGTATGTCTAACACAGTGAAGAAAGTGGAGAAAAGCATAGGGGGACGAGGGAACACCAAAGTCTGGCCAAGTGGTGTAGTGAAAGTGTAGCACTTCTCTTTTGTCTCCAGTCTAAAACAAAAACAAGCAAATTTCCTTGTCTTAAAGCAGTACAAAAAGCAAACTGTTACACAGTATATAACATCTGATAGCGTTGAGAATTGTACCTCAATCTTTTCAAGTTCTAAAGTCCTGAGAGTAAAATGCTGATAGTCCTGTTCGCCTGAAAGTGTTATTTTGAGACCACATTCTTCAAACACCATCTCATCCTCACACCCATAGTCTGCTCCTAGTGGCCAGTACTGTGAACATTTCCACTGAAATCAAGAGAATAAAAATCATGAAATGTATTCACAAATCTTAAAAAACATTAAATATACAGGGATTGGTATGATCAAGTTGGTAAAGCTAATGGTTGCTAAACTGACAAGTCCCAAGTTTGAAACCAGATGCAGATGGGGCTTGATAGCTGGAGACAGCAACCCGTCTAGGAGAGAAATCTCCATAATCAAACAACTGCTGCCTTGTACTCAGTAGTTTGTTCTTGAATGGACAAAGGATATGGGAGCAAATCCGAAAAGGAAATCAGACAGAAATCTAACAGCCCATAAGGCACATGTACCAAAGTAGCGGAAGCACAACACTAATACAGTACTGTACAAACATGAGTGAGATAATTTTGAAAGTAACAACACAAATGATGCAAGGTACACTTATTTGACATTTTAAAAATCATAAACTTAGCCACATACACAACTTATAAACCATCATACAACAGAAACGATATCAAAATAATAGTGGGCTGGGTTATTTACTGTTAGGTAGTGTAGCAAACAATCAGATCAACTGTTTTGTAGTTAGCCAAGTGAACTCACTGTGGCCCTTATAGTCAATGATATTTCAAGGATTGAAAATTAAAGATGAAACTTTGGAACTACAAGTTCAAAGAGCAAAAGTTGACTTAAAATTAATTAGCAGAGCTAAGCTACAAAAAAAAACCCAACTATTTAGATGTACTTACTGAGCCTTTCTCTATAACTCTATTCAGCATAACAATAGCCCTAGCATCTTGCTCCCAGGTCATTTGCCAGAAGTCAGCCATTGTGTGTTCCAAAGGGCCCTAACAGTTTGTAAAATTATACATTTAAATGGTAACCACATGATTCAGAAATAAAATTTAAAAAAAATTAAAAAAAAAAAAGTAAATTTAATAAACAAAATTGTGCTTCAAATAAGAGCTATATCTGTACAACTTAGAAGTAGCATTTGAAATTTAAAGTAAATTAACAATAAACCTTCTTAAGCAGGATATTACCTGGGTTAATATATATTTTCGGTTGGCTTCTGGCACTTCAATTAAGCTAGCATTGATGTAGTCACTTTCTCCAGAAATTTTCACTCTGCTGTGATCATCTGGAAAAAAATTATGTAGCATATATCAATGTGAAGAAGCATCATCAAACCTTTAAAACTACCTTTGTAGGTCATGTGACTAATTATTATTAGATAAATGAAAACTAAAATAGAAATATTTCAGATTGTAATCTCCAAAAATGGAATTTGAATTATAAGAAGAAAATAAAAGCACCAACAAGAAAACTGAGAAAAGAATTGTATCAAATCATAAGGTGAACTCACAAGGACTGACATCTCTATATCGGTTCTTGCGGCGGTTGTCTGGATCTCTTGCTTCTTTAGTTGAAAAATCATCACTTAAAGTCAAAAGTGATGCTTCATTTTTTAACCTCTGAGCACAAAAACATTAAATAATTTAAATATATAGAAATTTTCAATCTAAAATGAGCTCCTGTTAAATTGCTTAAATTATGTTTTTTTTTAAATTTGAGGAATAGCCTACACTTTATAAATACTAAATCACAGAACAAAATCATTGGTAAGCTTAAATATTCCAGGGCTTACACACTAGTTAGTGTTCTGACTTAACATAAACAACAATAGCTTCTTCCCATTAGACCTATGTGTTACCAGAGCTAGGCGCAGTACACTTTGGGTAGAGGGTTGGGTTATGATGGTTCATAGGGGATTTTTAAAAAGTTAAAGAGTGAACTTCTCTAATACTTTGTCTTCTTAGATCATGCTTAGTAAAAATGTAGCAGCAAAAAAGATGATAAGTATCAAGATAAAATAAAGAAAAACAATTTGTCAAATTATATTCAATATTTTAGATAGATTTTGATTTAATTAGCATAATTAGCTTATAATTAGCATAATGAACCTAGGCAGCACTGGCCCAAATGTCACACTCTTGGGTGAAAAGGGAATTTTGAGACCAAGTGTGATGAGGAAGAAACAAAATTTTAGCTGTTATTTTGAGTTTTTAAATTTTAAAAGGCTGTTTTTATAAATTGTAGGACTAATAGAAGTTGATTACTATACTCAATGTTGACCTTTAGGGCCTGTCGAACAAAACAAAAACAACAATTTTGAGAGGGTTGTATGGTGAGGTGTGACATCAAGTTAAGAGTGGGGGTCTAGTTTTTGTGACATTGTGTGATGATCAAAGGAGGAGGTAAAAAACACTTTTAAAAGTGTGAAAGTGTTTATGGATGACCCCTTTGCATTTTTATTTTTAAGCCAGTACAGTACATTTGAGTACAAGTAGTATTACATACAGTAATAGCAATATGTAGTTTAGAAGCTTAACTTTAAAAAGTATCAATAATTTAATTAAATTATTTAGTTCAAATTTTGAATAGTTTCAGATTAGACTGCTAACTAATCAGAATACTTTTTAATTAAGTTTAGTTATTAATTGTAGATATAATTCATTTTTAGGTCTATCTATATATATAATTCTCTTCATGGGGACCATACGAGACACCTTGCAGCTTAGCCGTTCCTACCACCTTGCAGCTTAGCCGTTCCTACCACGCTTTCTAGGTATATCGCTACCACCCTCAGGTGAGCTATGGTTCACCCCGAATGTTTACAATAGTACAGCCAGTTCAAATGAGTGACGATTTGAAACTTAGGGGAGATAATAAGTTCTGCTTGATATTTTCATTGTTGTCTGTAAACGGCTGCTTTCACTGGGCGGGGTGTGGCAGGGTAGTGTCGAATTCACAAATTATGAATTTTTGATAAGTAGAAAATAAAAACTAGATAGCGGCGTATGCTACGTCGCGGGTCAGCTTGTAAATTATTATTTATTTAGGACTTTAGGTTAGGTAGGTGTGTTGAACTGATGAGCAGCAGTTGAGCCCCTTAAAAAAAAAAAATTCTAAAAAATAAGATTAGGCTCTAGGCCTAATTTTAAATGAATGCTATTTATTTAAAATCAATTTAAAAGTTATAAGCTCATTGTTCAGAGTAAGTTTATTTTATTGAAGTTTAGTTAAGTTTTTTTAGTTTAGTTTAGTCAATTAGTGGCTGATAGCAAGCAGTTTAATGACGAAGTGATTGATGAGACGAGTGATGAGAAAGAAAGAGTGAATGAGAGAGAGGTGCACCTGAAATATTTCATTCCAACTATTGCTCGAATCATATTCTGCAAATTCTTTTTCTGTTTCGGAAGTCATTTCGCTAGCATAAATTAAAAATCAAGCTTAAATGTCATTTGTAAATTGAGTGAGTTAATCTATTATTGTTATTGCAAGCATTTTCTGTTAAAAATTCTCTCTTCTGGGCCTGTATTTTATTTGATGACCGGACGTAAGTTTTTACTTATTTCCTAAAAGGCAACTCTATTCACCGAAAAAAAAAATTAAATACTTGTCGGTTTCCATAACTAATCAAATAATTACTTCGATACAAGTAAACCTCTTTTCGAATTCATTGTTCATAGACCTACAGTAAAATGGGATAAAATGATTATAGCTATTCAACTATTGCATAATTATAGATTTTACTAGATCTAGATCTACTCGTTTTCTCGCAGTTCGCTAAGAAAATTTATTTGGATAATTGTCAGAACAAGCTACACATTATTTAAAAAATAAGGTTTTACAATATATAGGGCCTATAAGTCTATATTTAACTTAAAGGTAAAACGTTATATTTACTTAGGTATTATAATTTAAACTATTTTCTCTAAATAATATTCTGATTATTAATTTTTAAAGTCTAACTGTGTTTATAGCATGAATCGTTGTGACGTTTTAGTTTAATATATATATATATATATATATATATATATATATATATATATATATATATATATATATATATATATATATATATATATATATATATATATATATATATATATATAAGGTGTATCTATCTAGTGTCTTTAAAAATATTACAATAAATACAGTGTTTCTTCCAGACTTTTTTCTTGGAGGGGTGCACTTGATATTTTTTTGGGGGGGGGGGGGGTAAACTTTCTGGGGGCGGACGGGCGGACACTGATAAAAGTATGTTTTCTATATAAATTACATTTCGATTTCGTTCTGGGGGAGTGGGGCAGTAGACTTTCTTCGGGGTGGGGGTGGAGTGCAGAGCCCCCCCCCCCCCCCCCCGAAGAGTTGCCTGGAAAAAACTGTACAAATATAAGGCTGAGTTGTTAACACGATTAAACTTAGCGATCGCTTGATCAGCATGCTGTCGTCTGTAAACTGACTGATGGTGTTTTAAAGCAAATGTTTATTGTCGCAGCTTAGTTTGTATCGACTTCATAAATCACGAATTACTAAATAATAGAAAATAAATCAAATTAAAAAAAAATCTAATAACAACTTTTTAAATGCACTGAAAATTAAAAACAAAAACAAAAACAAAATTGCTTTCTCGCACAAAAAGCTTTGGTCGCTAAAATATGTATAATATGTGACAACATTTTGAAATTTTTATCTGGCACTTATATAATCTTATTTGTTTTGATGTTGGCTAAACTACGTAGTTTTTGTTTTGCTTTCTATGCGTAAACAAAAACATTTTACTAGCTGGACTGATTTAAATTATAGTCTGCTGCAGTAGTTAGTCCGGCTAGCATATATAATGCACATGTTCTTAAAATGTTTACGAAATATTCCATTTAAGCTTCACCATTGTTTCACTTTACAAAGCCGAAGTTTTTCCATCACCGGTACCGGCTCAATGAGTGAGATGAGTGCCCCACAGCCCTTGAAAAAACAGCGCAACTCAAATAGAAATATTATCTTCAGGCCAGAAGACACAGAAGATGATTTTAACGAACATGCTTGCAAGAAAGTTTATGAAAAAATCAACAATGAAAACAATTTTGTGGTAAGACTACTTCTACTAGACTACACTATTTTAACTATTTAAGTATTTTTGATGTACATATTTGGAAAAAAGGTAATCTATCGTTTTGGGTACGTAAAATCGCCCGCGGCTATTAATGTACGAAAACGTTACCTCATTGTCAAGGCTTTAATAGAATTATATTGTGATATGTTTGTGTCAAATATTATAGATAAATGATTAATATTTAATAAACCTAGGTAAAATCACGATATTAATGTTTTAACTTAATTTAATGTTTAACTGACAAAAAAATTAGCAACAATTAGTAAATCTAAATATTATTAATAAAGTCGAGTGTAGTAATTAATGTTTTTTTAAGAAACAGAAAAACCTGCAGAAGATTTGCGACAACTAGCTCTAGTTGTGTTAGTAAATAAGACGATTAGATTTAGTAACTACAGTTAAAAGTAGTAAGAATAACTAGAATAATGTTTAGTAGCAGCAATAATTAGCACATACACTTGAAATAATTAGAAATACAAAATAATTAGCAAAACAGTATTTAAAATGCAACTAAAATCAATCCTTGCACATTTTTAAACATGAATTAAAAATAATATGGCGGCAAACATGATGGTTTACAGTATTTCCGGTGGTTTCCGGAACGGCTCGACAGACTACGCCATGGTTTTACTGTTTTTTACTGCTGTACAGTTCCGGAATAATAACCGACGCTATATCGTGATTTTACCTAAACCTAAATCAATGGCTAAATATATCAACATATATTATATAGGCCAGAAATTAACTTTAAACAGCAGTGTCTGCGAGCAAGATTTGCTATATAAACAGCAGCCATTTGTAAAATAGAGTGGCTTCCCCCTGAATCTCGCCCTATAAGTTTATAAAAATAAAACTTTAACAAGATGGCTGCTATAGTAAATAAGCATGGTTGCATCTGTTGGAAACATCGCTAGTCTTCATTTATTACTGAAAAGTTTTAATTCAATTGTTTAAAAACGGGTACATAAATGAAACAAGGAAACATTTTTGAGTTTTTTAAAACATAAATCCTCATCAACATGTGAAATAATTATTAAAATTTAAGGAGTCACCTGTTTTTCACATTACAAGTTGCGGGCGATTTTACGTACCCAAAATGATAGATTACTGGAAAAAATAATTTATAAAATAGTTATTGGTCAAAACGCAACACTATACGCTGAGATAATCAGAGATATTAGTGACAAAGCGAAGAAATAACTAAATAGCTAAAAATCCGGCACATTTAAAATAAAAAAATTACTAAACTAAATAGCTAAAAAACCAGCACATTTAAAATAACAAAGGCTATCAATACTTTTTAGAAAAATCAAATTTTAAACATTATTAGTTATTAGTCAACACAACACCATTTAAATACACCCATTGATCAAGAGACTAAAATAACTCAGTTAAAAACCCAGCTTTCAATGGTATTTATTTATGTTGTTTTTTAAAGTAATTTGTATTACTTTTAGCCTAGAAAATTGTATACATTTCATAGCGTACATCTTGATAAGTAGATCTATAGATCTAAATCAAATTTGAATGAAATAGTTCCTTTCTTCATATTCTAAAATTGGAAGATGACGTCATTAGCCTATTTAATATTATATTAATCATCTGTCCACCAAATGAACTATGTAAAAATCCACCTAGATACTCTAGGTTTTATATATATATATATATATATATATGCCTATGATAATAATAGATGGTTGTATTAACATATTTAGATAATCATGTTTGTTTCATAACTTTATGTCAGATTAATAAATAATCTAAAACCTGGTTCCTTGCAGACAAATCTATTATTTAAGTTAGGGCTAGGGTGATGATAGGGGGAGCAAATGTTTTGGCTGGGATTAAGTGAGGTATTGTTAATGTTAATGCTAAATCAAACTAAGTTGTTTCTATGTCTTAGATTTTAAAAAAATTTTAAACATAGCTTCTATATGATAAATTCCCACTCACTAAATTTCCCCACTAATGTATGTATTTGAAATAAATTTAAAGGTATGTGTTGAAGGCAACATAAGCTGTGGGAAGACAACTTTATTGAATTACTTCAAAGACATACCTACTTGTGAGGTAACCCTATGCATAGAAATAGTGTTTTAAATTTAATTTTCAAGGTTTTAGCTTCTGCCTTTCCTATAAAGCTACAGCTCATTTTGACATCAGTGTTACATAATTAATTAGAATGAATGCTGAATAATAACATGCCTAAACTGTCTGTATGTAAAATAATTCGATAATGAAGAAGGAATATAGGGATTTGTGGAAAAAAAATTATCATTAAAACACAGATCTGTTTTTTTTTAATACAATAAAATACAAAATGTTTTTTCATGAGGGAAATTTATTTTCTTAGGTAATAATAGAACCAGTGGAGAAATGGAGAAATGTAAATGGTTTTAATGCATTGGTATGTTTGATTTTCTTTTTATATATTTAAAACTTAAAAGCTAAAATTTTTTATTTACTGTAAGTTTTAATCTTTTTATTATAATGTACAGCATTATCACTCGATTATAAACTCTTATATTGGGCAACATATAGTTATAAAATTATTAAAATTTATTTTAGTTTTCAACCCTTGTATGCATAATGTAGATAACCAGGCTAATGATTACTAGCTAACCAAATATTCTATTGCAAAGGATCTTATGTACAAAGATCCACAGAGATGGGGAATGGCCCTCCAGACATACATACAGCTAACCATGTTGCAGTCACACAAAAATTCTCAGGTAAATTATTTCATGGGATTTTTAAAAAAAAACCCTAAAATGATGGCTTTATTTTATTATTATTTCACTTACCTATGGTGGTTAATACTAAGATTTGATGGTGTAATCTCACGTAAGAAAATTACGCCAATTTTGTATCCATCAATAAGTAAATAATCAATATGTTTTGAACTTATTTAGAGTAATTATATTTTGTAATAGAATGCTCCAGTTAAACTTATGGAAAGGTCCATATACAGTGCCAAATATTGCTTTGTGGATAATCTCTATAAAAGGTAAATTAAAAGAGTGATTTGAATGAGGAAAAACTTTTACATTACAAAATTTTAAAATAAACATTTCTTTTTAACTTTGGTTTAATAAAAGATCTATTATTGCTCTATACCACAAGCTAAGTGGTACTATTGAATTGATCAAAGAGCTTTTATGTTTGTTTTAAATATATCACTGAAATGAAAATCTCTATTAACAGTGCCAAAATGCCTGAGATAGAGCATATCATTCTCACTGAGTGGTTTAATTGGATTATAAAGACACAAAACATCAAAGTAGATCTGTTTGGTAGGTAATAATTAAAACTTGTATATATTTTATAGTAAGCATTTATAAAATGTAAGGCACAGGAGCTATGAAGTTATCTGTAACAGTTTATTATTTTTTGCATAACAAGCCTTCTAAAAGAAAAAAACTATTTTGACTTATTTGTATTATAATTTGTTTTCAATTTCAGTATATTTGCGGACCAACCCTGAGTTACTTTATTCCAGAATAGTAAAACGATGTCGTAATGAAGAGTTAAAAATTTCATTGGTTAGTAATGATTAACATCCTTACATTTTTTTAGTATGGCAAGACATACCATGCTTGCACCTTTTTTTTTCAAATTTTTCAATGATTTTTGTTAATTCAATATTTTACCACAAAAACAAAACTATATTGTAATCTTAAGTTATACAATATCTTTTTACAGGATTACTTAAAGACATTACACCAGTTGCATGATGATTGGTTAATTCATAAAAAGTATGATGTCCCTGCTGAAGTTTTGGTATGTGGAGACAATTTTGTGATTTTAAACATTTTATTTTCATGTTATAAATCACATCAGCTTGAAATCAGTATTTTGATTATTTTATTTGTGAAAAGTCTACCCAGTTATGATATTTTTAAAATAACTTTTAAAATTATTTAGGAAGAAAAATTAAAATACAGTAAGCTGACAAAAAACAATATAACAGAGAATATTTCTACTGTTATTGAACAGGTTATAGATGCCAACAGTTCCATTGAAGAGATGCAGATTTCGTATGAAAAACACAAAAACAGAATAGTAGCGGTTCATACCAGCTGAGATCTAGGCAGCAGTTGATGTTTTTGACATATATCAGTCTAGTGATTTCTGTCATGAGAAGGCCTGCATGTTTTTGTGACAGACATCAGCCATCTGATTTTTGTCAAAAGTACAAATTTGTGTCCTGAATTGTTTAGTCTCAGGGGAGACAAATCTGTATTTACATAAATGGATCCAATTAACCACAAGATTTGTCCATTAAATGTAGCATTTAAAAAACAGTAGAAAGTCATTTTCAGCTTTCAGAAGTTTTCCCCCTCTATAAGAATGTGCCATATATGATATATAAAATTATTTTTGAAAAACACAAACTAAAACACATTGATGAATTTCTTCCCTTTTCAGCCTAGCAGAAAGTCTTCAAGGCTGTATCAATAGTTTTTCAAAATAATTTATTTCTATTATTTATTTGGACATAAATGCTGATCATAAAAGATTTATTTTGCACCAACAAAATGTATTGATACATTATTCATTAATATAGTCTCACATTTGAGGGCATTGATTGTCACTTTTATTCTGTAATGCATACTTTACATTTACCTTTTTTATTCACAAAATTGCTGTGTGGGCATAATTGCATTAGCAAGCTGCAATAATTTTTTGTATTGTACGTACTTCTTTGGCATTAAAATATGGATATTTTTTTGGCATTAAAAACCCATTAAGTGTGTCATTTTCATTACTGTAATTAATGTTTTATTTAATGATTAAACCCAGTATTTGTTCAGACTTTTTTTCATTTTCTTCCTAAAAACCTGTTATATTATTGTGCATTTTATATAACAGAAAGTAGTGGGATATTATCAAAGAAATTTCAATCTAAATTCTTTTTTTAAGAAATTTCTTAAAGTACTTTTTTCTTCAACAAGATCAGTAGAATTTTTTTAGGGGCATTTAAAACTATTTTTTAAGATAAAATAAAATGTCTTATTTTCATTTGCTTTTAAATTACTAACTTAGACTATGTAACCTAAATCTATGATATTAAAATAGTTGTTTAAAATAAATTTGGTTGTTTGTTTATTTTTATACCTAGATTTGGTTCACAAGTACATCTTGTCATAAAATTATAATTACTTAAAAAGTATAACATGGCGGCAGTTGAATTACATTGTGCTGTTTTCTGCCATAGAATAACAAATTATCATGTAAAGAAGCAACTTTATCATATACTGATTTATTTTTTAAATGATGAAATTACTAATCATGAATTCATGCACCAATTCTGAACAATTTTTTGGGAATTCAGTTTTGATCACAGATTGTTTCTTGAGAAACATGTATTCTCAAAATAGAATTAATAAAAGCCATAAATAAGAGAGCCACAAAATATTGCAAACTTGCTTGTTACTTTAATGGCTGAAGGTGGACTGTTCTAATAGATAGTACTCTACACTGTCGTCTCCATTTTTTAAACAAATTGCAGTTTACCAATAAATTCCATATACTAGAATCTTAAATCAATTAATTTTTAATATCCACCTTCACAATTATTGTTTACTGGAATCCCCATATAAACTAACTGGCACACTGTGCAAAACAGCTAGCCCAAAGTTTTGTAATTCAGATATTGGTTAGAGATTGAACTAGCTGATGAGGTGATTGATACTACCTATTCTTATCTCCCCCTTTTTAAAAATTGAATTTGCTTCTTTTTAAATAAAATTTTCATTAAGACTGAAGTAATGTTAAGTAAGATTAAAAATTAGATATTCTTGCATTGTCATCGGAGACTAATGTATCTGGAAAATGCTGTATTAGAAGTGGGTTAAAACCGAGTTACATGATTTGCCATAAAACCACAGACATTGTGAACTAAATGAAAGCTTATAACTATAAAACTGCAGAAATGGATGCATTTTATTTCATTTAGTTCTCTGTGTTAAGCTGCTTGAAAATTCTAGAAAATGAGATAAATGGCCCGTTGAGTGAGAGATACATACAACTGCGTTCGGTTGATAGTTTTGTCTTTTTCTCTATATCAATATCAAAACCAAAATCACCACCTCAACTTCAAATTTAACAGGAAACAAAAAATGTCATTGAAAACAGATTTTTATCCAGAATCTGCATTTTAATCAGATTTAAGCTTGATCTACATGTAGATACTGTACATTTGTCGTAAAAAGTTCCCTCTTCCAACCTGACGGTCTATAGGGCAAGTGAAGTAGAGTTCACTTGTTTCTGTGACCTCTGCATATGAAGAGATAGTGTGGTTAGCACTATGCCCAGCCGCCTTTCCCTAATGAGAGTTAGGTACCCATCAGAGTTGGGTGACTCAGGGACGATCTACTGACTTGAAACCTGATTTGAACTCGAGACTTATGAGTCGCATTTAGAGTTTCTCCCCCACCCCGAAGCACATCCCCTTCAACGAAATACAATTTATATAGTAACTACATATACTTTTACCAGGGTCCGACCCCCTCCCAGAAAATTTAACCCCCCCCCCCAAATATTTCAAGAACACCCTCCAGAGAGGAAAAAGTCTAAAAGAAACACTGTAGATCATACAGACTAACGGTAGAGCCTAGACCAGTTTTGTACTTTTGGCTGATAATCCTCACTCACGCAGTGTTTCTTTCAGAATTTTTTTCTCCAGGGGTGGGGACACTGGGAAATAAAAGTATATATTTCCTATATATATACATTTTATTTCATTTTTTTTGGGAGGGGGGGGGCTTAGACGTTCTACCGGGGTGTGGCCTGAAAGAAACTGCACGCAAACCTCTTTTAAGATTAGACAAATGAAATTGGCGGTAAAGCCAGTGTCTTTAGTATTAAGTATTGATGACATCATAATTATTGTGTTTTTTTTTTGGACAATGGCTTAATTCTATGTTTACTTCTAGAATCAATGACGTCATATTATTGTGTGTACTTTTACGGCTTTAGACTATTTCCTACTATATGTTCCATGTGATGTCACGTTTCGTTTTTCGTATGACTGTGCATGTTTTGACTCTCTTGTGTTTTCTCGATAGCTTTCCCAACAGATAGACAGTGAAACTATTAATATAGATTAAAGTAAGATATGATAAAATTCTAAAATCGGTGTAAAAATCAGATTGTTCTTCTGAATATACAAAAAATAGCACTCTAAATTTTTAGAAATACATTACATTTATTTACATACTATTACTTATAATCTATTTATACTGTGTGGTCATTTCTTTTCAATATCATACAGCTTTCTCTTCTCTTTACTCAGTTTTTTTTGCATTTTCTTTTCCTCTGATACTGAAGTTGCTTCTATGGGAAACTCGTAGTCTGGAATATTGAGCCTGATCTCAGCTTTAAAGGTACTGAATTTAGACAGCGTACAAGATTGAATATGATAATTGGAGAACTTTTCACAGAATAAGCTGTCCTTGAGTACAAGCTCCAGTGCTGCCTCCTTGTCCAGCTGGCCAAACCGTGAGTACTGGACTCCTATGTCAGCCACTGCTACATTGTTCACCTGTCAAATGGAGTTTATACAACTATTTAAGTCTATAGTCATGGATCACTAAAATAATGAATTTATACATTTATGTAAATTGCTCTGAGCAAGATCTGCCTAAATTTTAGGTTAAGCTGCATACTATTGTCTGGTATATTAGGTTAGGTATAATAAGGTATAGAAGTAAATTTACAGAGTAAAAAAGAGACAAAATGTAACTATATAAATAAAATAAAAATATATTTTCTACAAATCCCAGTTACCTTAAATGTGAGTGGCACAAGGAAGTCATCATCTATCTTAGGCCAAGCTTGTTGTAGAACGCTGTTCTCCTATTCATTGAAAATTATAAAAATTAGCTTTACATTTTAAAAAAATTATAGTGCTTTGTGTAAAAGTAAACAAAATTAAAGTGCTATCACGCAACAAAATTACCTAGCTATTGAAGAAACCACTATACTATTGAAAAAAAAAAGTTTCAGCACTTGCCCACTGGTGAGAATTGTGTTGGGCCACATCAGACAGGCCTACCCAGAGTTCTGAAGCAAAGTGAGGCGCCATCGGGCTGATCATAATGACCAGATCAGCCACTGCTCGCTCAAAAGCTTCACTTCTGCTGCTCACTGAAGCTGGGACTTGCTGAGGAAAAATGTTCTTGGGGACGTTAGCCCATCAAAAAAAATATTGTGGCTGTCAGATTGATTATATTAATGCCAACTGATGTAAAAGATAAAAATATTTGAAATCAAATTTTTTTAAACTTTAAAAACTAAAAATACCATTAGCCAAGAGACATAAGATTGAAGCCTTGAGATGGCAGCATTGATACAAAACAACTTCTCAAACTGTATGGTTACCTGCATCAGTCAAATCAAGAATTCAAACCACATAGTAAGTTATCTATTCTATGTACATTCTGATCCAGGGTACAATACTCTACATAATTTAACTTCAAGAAATATATACAATTTCTTTAAATTTTTAAAACATGAGTACAAGTTTTAAATGTTTTATTATCAAAAGAAAAAAAATACATAAGTTTTAAATTGAATGTGACTTTTAAAAAAATTATGTAAAACAATATCTACTTATAAAAAATCATATTTACTTGGTGAACAATATGGTTTCGAGTCTCATTTATTTTATATTCCCAGTTTTTGAGGTCCAGTTCACTGATATACTGGTCACTTTTAGTCTGGTCAGCTTTGCTTTCTTCTCTGACTCTAGTGACAAGTCCCCAAACCCTACACTGCCAGCTGATTACACCTTTATAGACTACAGTATACGTAAATTTAAAACAAAATTCACATCTCCACAAAAAGCATCAAGATATGATTTTAAACATGTACGTTAATGTCATAACTGAATCAGTGAGTGTACATTTTTTACATTACAGGGTGTGCTTTTATTACTACACACAAGTGAATCCCACCTGAATTTGACCAGTTCCTTTCAGACTGAGGGGAAACATTGGATAAAATACAAAGACGTGTAGAGTCAATACCGTACTCTGCAACCACCTCCTGGGATAAAAAAATATAAGCTATGCAAGTATCATTTGCCAGATTGGAAGAGTGTTAGGGATCAGGGGCAGTGAAAGTTACTCTGATGTTTCAAAGAAGCACTGAACTAATTTACCATTGTGTGCCCTTAGTTGTTGACTCTCCAGGCTAGGAGTAACAAATCAAAAACTAGTCATGACCCAAATAATTTTTTAAAATCTACTTTAATTTGAAACCACAGGACCAAATGTTTCAATGTGATAAAAATAAGGAGAACCACATAAGGTTTATTAGCTGTACACCTTCAGTGAAGTGACATTAATTTAATGGACTTGATTAATAAGCTATATCAACTCATGTGCATACAGCAATGAAGTCATTTTATAAATTGGTCTATGAAAAATTGGTGTGCTGATTTCATACCCACAACAATGGAACTTCCTGCCTGGGTAAGGTATTTCAAAGAGAAAGTTACCTCTGGGTTGACTCCATTGTGTTTACTTTTGCTCATTTTCTCAAATTCAACAATCAGTTTTTCTTTTGTACCCATCTCAACTGGAGATTTACCTATGAAATTTAAAAAAAAAAGTTAATATACAGTTCTCACAAAATAAAAGACTCTAAACCAGAGATACAACATTAATCCTAGCATTGACAGAATTATATAAGTTGTGAATATTTAAAATGATTACCAGAGAAATCCACTTGATCAGCTGGGATATATTTCCCAGTTGCCTTCACTCTGTAACTTTCACCTTTGACCATTCCCTGGCTAATGAGATTTTTAAAAGGTTCTTTGTGTTCCAAAAGTCCAATGGAGTGAAAAAAATGTGAAACAAATCTTGCATAGTATAGGTGAAGCAGGGCTGGGTAAAAAAAAGAATATTTTTATTTGGTTGATGGATAGATCATTTGAGTTTTGAATAGTATCTTATATATGACAACTGCATAAGATTTGGAAAATGTTTTTTCCATTTTAAAATTCAAACTTGATATTTGCGAAAATCTTAAAGAATATTTTTGTTAAATTTTGTTTTTAATCAGTGATTCTACATAAATATTTTTGTACCATGTTCTTTCCCTCCAACATACAAGTCAACAGGCATAAACTGTTTGACTCTGTCTGGGTCAAAGGGCAAGTTGGTGTTGTGGGGGTCCAGGTAACGCAGAAAGTACCAAGTTGAGTCCACAAAAGTGTCCATGGTATCTGTTTCTCTCTTGGCTGCAGATCCACATCTTGAAATTTGTAAAAACAATAGTTTTCTACCATCCCATTCACAATTACCAGTGTAATCTTACCATAAGACAAAAAGTTCCCTTTTTAAACCTGACGGTCCATGGGGCAGGTGAAGTAGAATTCACCTGTTGCAGTGACCTTGGCATATGAAGAGATAGTGTGGTCAGCACTATGCCCAGCCACCTTAACCTGAGTTAGTACCAATCATCCCACCCCCCCCCCCCCCATTCACAAATACCAGTGTCACCCCACCGCCCCATTCACAAATACCAGTGTCACCCCACCACCCCATTCACAAATACCAGTGTCACCCCACCACCCCATTCACAAAAAATAAATAGAAGACGTTGAAGTATAGCATAAAAACTAAAAAAATGTATTTTTTAGTGAAATGTTTCACCTAGCTGTAAACGAGATTTAACAAACTTTGAATTACTTGGGACAAGGAACGTTGATCCACTTCTCATCTTCAGCAAGTACCGACTGCCCTGCCTTAAGAATCAGCTGTGAAGTGTCAGGCAGAGTCACAGGCAGGTCTTCATATGGCACAGGCACACTCTACAATGATGTTTGATTATTTTTTATTATTACTTCAGTTGTGGAAAATATAATTAGATGCAAGGGGAGTTTTCTTAAAGCGAAGATTCATTTAAAAGTTGAGTGAATGAGTCAGAACCACGAATCAATATTCAAGAAAACCAACAAAAAAAATGTGTTTTTACAAAAACAATTTTTACAAATCAATACACAATTAATTGTAATCTGATAATAGTTTTAATTCATCTTGCCAAGACTTTTGTAAAAAAAAATCTGTTAATGAATGTTACTGGACACATACCCATTCAATCAAAACTTACCCCACACATCCCAGGAACACATACCCATTCAATCAAAACTTACCCCACACATACCCATTCAATCAAAACTTACCCCACACTGCCCACAGTGGATGATAGGTATAGGAGTTCCCCAGTAGCGTTGTCTTGATATCAGCCAGTCATGCAGCTGTTCACTGATTTTCTCACCCCCTGCTCCCAGAGTCTGATGAAAACATTTAAAAAACTGAGTGTTACATAACTCCCAGAGTCTGATGAAAACATTTTTAAAAAACTGAGTGTTACATAACTCCCAGAGTCTGATGAAAACATTTAAAAAACTGAGTGTTACATAACTCCCAGAGTCTGATGAAAACATTTTTAAAAAACTGAGTGTTACATAACTCCCAGAGTCTGATGAAAACATTTAAAAAACTGAGTGTTACATAACTCCCAGAGTCTGATGAAAACATTTAAAAACTGAGTGTTACATAACTCCCAGAGTCTGATGAAAACATTAAAAAACTGAGTGTTACATAACTCCAAGAGTCTGATGAAAACATTTAAAAACTGAGTGTTACAAAACTCCCAGAGTCTGATGAAAACATTTAAAAATTGAGTGTTACATAACTCCCAGAGTCTGATGAAAACATTTTAAAAAATGAGTGTTACATAACTCACAAAGTCTGATGAAAACATTTTAAAAAAACTGAGTGTTACATAACTCCCAGAGTCTGATGAAAACATTTAAAAATTGATTGTTACATAACTCACAGAGTCTGATGAAAACATTTAAAAATTGATTGTTACATAACTCACAGAGTCTGATGAAAACATTTAAAAATTGATTGTTACATAACTCACAGAGTCTGATGAAAACATTAAAAACCTTAACACTGACCAGATGATTGAAATTCAAAATACATTAAGCATAACACATAAAAAAAAAGTTGACAGTTAATACTTACAACAAGCTTTTTCCTAACTACCTCCAATGCATCTTTACGATTCAAGCCACAGAGCTAAAGACAGAAAGTAAAATTCAATGATGATAGGGAAAAGAAATTAATAAAAGACTCAATCAATTAAATATTTTTTAGCCTTGTGTAAACTCCATACAAATAAAATGTCTACACGAGTACAAGTTGATTTCTGCTCACCTCTGTGGCATGCACAGTGTTTGTTCCATCTAAAACATTGGTGTAAGAAATGTTTAGTCTGTCTGCCACTTCTCTGTCTTCTTCACTTATACAAGGGATGGCTGTAGGGTATACAGTTATGTTATATAATAAGAGATGGGTGTAGGGTATACAGTTATGTTATATAATACAAGGGATGGCTGTAGGGTATACAGTTATGTTATATAATAAGAGATGGGTGTAGGGTATACACAGTTATGTTATATAATACAAGGGATGGGTGTAGGGTATACACAGTTATGTTATATAATACAAGGGATGGGTGTAGGGTATACACAGTTATGTTATATAATACAAGGGATGGGTGTAGGGTATACACAGTTATGTTATATAATACAAGGGATGGCTGTAGGGTATACACAGTTATGTTATATAATACAAGGGATGGGTGTAGGGTATACACAGTTATGTTATATAATACAAGGGATGGGTGTAGGGTATACAGTTATGTTATATATTACAAGGGATGGCTGTAGGGTATACACTGTTATGTTATATAATACAAGGGATTGGTGTAAGATATACAGTTATGTAATATAGTATAGAGGATGACTGTAGGGTATACACAGTTATGTTATATAATACAAGGGATGGCTGGAGTGTATACAGTTGTTATATATTACAAGGGATGGCTGTAGGGTATACACAGTTATATTATATAATAAGAGATGGGTGTAGGGTATACACAGTTATATTATATAATACAAGGGATGGTCAGAGTGTATAACGATACTATATGTTATTAGCTTGACTTAAGTGAAACAGCTGATAGAACAAAAAAGGTGTAATATATATTCAACAAATAAGCATTGTCGTTACCTAGCTTCACCTCTCTATTCTTGTACATCTGGTCCTCTTTAGTCACAACAATTTTCAGGTATTCACCTGTCAGAGGATGTATGGCTTGCACAGGTAAAACATCATCTGTAAATAAACATTTTGTAAATTATTTTTTGAAAAGTATATTAAATTAAAAAAAAAATTAAATTTTTTCTTTCACAAAGAAAAAATGCTGCCAAAAAAGAAATATCTTACCAACTTGGTTCCTGTTGAAGTCAACACACAAGTAGTGAGATGGTTTGATACAAAGATGTGATACTCCATAAACTAAATCTAAGTCTTCTGTGTAAACTGTTAGTGGAAAATCTGCACAATCTTTGGCCTGAGTTTTGAAAACATTGTTTTGTTAATTGTTTTAGTTTAAAGTTTTGTTTAATCTTTAATGGATTTCATGGACCTGATTCTTCTTTTAAACCAATCAGTTTTGTGCGTAAAAGAAAATTCACCTCAGATTTTAATTTAAAATCAATTCTGTGGCCATTGCATTCAGATATCCAATTCTTTTGTATGGTAATAATATCTTTCCATAAATTAGCATCTACTTCATCCAAACCCTTAAGCAAAGACTGAAACAATGTGTGCATGAAAAAGTTAATGTTTTAAGAAACTTGATTTATACTGTAGAATATATTACACACTACAGAAGAATTTAACATTTACTAATTTAAAAAACAAATACATAGGTTCAAGGGCTATGAGGTCGTCCATAAAGAACCTTATGCATTCTTTGACAAATTTTAATCACATCCCGAATATAAAGTTACTTAGTTTCACTCCCATAAAGGGATATAACAAAGCTATGGTAGTTTGGTCGAAAATATTTATTGAATTGTTCCCCTTAAACAAGGAAACAACAACATGAAGAATCCTGTAAACTGCTACAGTGGGAAAAAAAACTATTCACTATTTCGTACTAGAAACTAGATCTAGACAGTTTTGATAATCCAAGTCAATTTGAGATTCAGTTATCTATTTTCCTGACAATTCACACAAAAAATCTTTAAATTATTTTTAAAATAAGCTAAAACTTGTGCTAAAAAGTTGTTTCTTTTCACTGTTCACACATCAACAAAAATTTGATCCCCAAATTGATGTCATATATGGACGACCCCTGGTGTACAATTTTAGTAATCAAAATAATCTAATCTAATTAGTACCTCTGAGAAGCTTGTGTCTCTAAGAAACCACTGAGTCAGATATTTCTTTTCCACCTTGGCCCCTGACCTCCACGAGCAGCCATGCTCATCAATCTGCTCATGCGCCAGAACAGTCATATCTACTGGGTCCCAGTTCACCAAACCCTAAGACAGAACAGTCATATCTACTGGGTCCCAGTTCACCAAACTTTAAGACAGAACAGTCATATCTACTGGGTCCCAGTTCACCAAACCCTAAGACAGAACAGTCATATCTGCTGGGTCCCAGTTCACCAAACCCTAAGACAGAACAGTCATATCTACTTGGTCCCAGTTCACCAAACTTTAAGACAGAACAGTCATATCTACTGGGTCCCAGTTCACTAAACCCTAAGACAGAACAGTCATATCTACTGGGTCCCAGTTCACCAAACCCTAAGACAGAACAGTCATATCTACTGGGTCCCAGTTCACCAAACCCTAAGACAGAACAGTCATATCTACTGGGTCCCAGTTCACCAAACCCTAGGACACACAGGCAGTACAGTCTCATTTAGCAAAGATGCCACATTTAACTTCTATTACCGTTTTAGTGGATTATGGTTTGTGAAGATAATAAGTTGTTTTTTTTTCTAGAAGATTGTATTGGAGTTTTAAAACAAGTATAAAAAAAATAATTTAAATCAGACATAATAACTGGAACTAAAAAAAATGTGAAACCTTCTTCTGAAATGCCAAACCAGCCTCAAACATTTTCAAGAAAATAAACTGAGTCCATCTGTAATAGGAGGGATCACATGTGGCCAGTTCCTTAAAAAACAGAAATGTTATCATTTTAAATTTTTTTTGGAAACAAATAATGCAGTAATATTATTCTAAAAAAATTTTCTTTGAAAAACTGCCTTTAGCTGGTAAATTAATATCTATTAAAATAAATTATCACACAAGTTACGAGCATGCAATTTAGTAGTATTATCTATATTACAATAGCAAATTATGTATCACACTTACCCTATTCCAATCAAAACTGAAACCCAAATCTTTTAACTGTTGTTTCATTCTCTTGATATTGCTAAAACATTTTTGTTGTAATATCATTATTAACCTGTCTAGTCTAAAAACATCATATTGGTTATTTGTTTGCTCTATATTCACACATGGAGTATTACCTGTAAGTCCATTCTTTTGGTGGTATCCCCCTTTCCATTGCAGCATTTTCTGCTGGTAATCCAAATGCATCCCATCCCATAGGGTGTATAACCTAATATAAATAGGGAATTTTTATGTATAAATGTGTATGTAGCTAAAAAGTGTTTATAAGATGGCACTAATATAAAAACCAATTTGATAAGACATCAGATCCTTGTTGTGGCAAATATGTATGAACATCAACACATAACAATGTCTATAGAAAAACTTACTATTTTCCCCTGTGATCTGTGGTATCGTGACATTATGTCACTAATAGTATACACTCGAACATGACCTAAGTGAAGATTTCCACTTGGATAAGGAAACATGGACAAAGCATAGAATTTTTCTTTGCTGTCCTGGAAAAAAATATTGCTTCAACTCTAAAAAGCTACAACAAAATTAATTATAAACAAAAAGTTTACAAAATAAATCTGACTAAGCTGTAACATTTAGATAATTATTATATAGGTCTATTAATTTTATATTTTCCAGAGAATTTAATGTTTAAAAATAAAACAAACTTTTAATGGGGACTCTGATAATTTAGACTGTTCTTCATCATACAATTGAACGATAGGTTTCCAATGTTTTTCTATTTCTAGTCTTGTTTCAGGTGTTAACTGTTTGTCCTGAAAAAATATTTTAAAGATTGAAAAACATTTTTTATCATCTCCCCCCCCCCCCCCAATGATGTCTTACAAAACTCTCAAAACATATTTTCCATCTTTTTTATTCTTAACGAATGCTAAGTATATACTTGTCACATTCTTTAACCTTCCTTTACAGATTTAGCGGATAGTCTCATTGTTACAAAAGTTATAATCTCAGAATGCTCATTCCTCCTGTTTTTGTCATGTCATTTATTTGGGATCTAATTAAGGCAATCTGTAACTACAAGATGAAGTATATATCAAGTTGTATTTACAAACCCATATTCCAGTTTTACTATAAAGAAAACGGATATTCTCAGTGATGAGCCCCAGCAAAGCACTTCTGTTATGATTCCATGGTACAAAGGCAGTCCAAGGTATTATTTTCTTAATCTTCATTATAATCTTTATAAGAAAAATAATGTCAAATTTAAAAAAAATTTACTTATGTAAAAATTAAATAGCATAGTATCATTATAATATTTTGGTATGTTACAGTCTAGGCATAGTAAAGAGATAAAGGCCTAATATTATATAAATAATAATTAGGCCTGTAATGTATATTAATATTAATAGGCCTAAATAATAATAAGTTAGGCCTAGTGGCAAATGTAAAGATAGTCATAGTAGATAGTGATAGACCAATTTGAAATTATTTAGTAGATTATTCTTTATTCTCAACAACACAGAAACAAAAAGTCAAGTTGAATTAATCATTCTAACCATTCTGTTCACCGTTAATGCTGATGAAATCTGTCTCCCTCTCTCATTGTCTCAATGCCTGTCACACTGACCTCCAATGCTCAGTCACACATTTTACCTGAAGAATTAGATATTTAATATTTAGGTCTTTTTATTTAAATATTTAAGATGGCCAAATATTTATTTTCATAATTATAATGACAATAATGAGAAATTTATTTAGGCCTATAATGAAATAATAATAGGTCTTATAATAAATAATTTTATAATTTATAAGTCGGATGATTGGGGATACTGAAGTCCAATAATTGACTTTTCCGAAAATAGGTTATTAGTAGGCCTATTGAAATTTTGCATGCGCAACAGACCACATCGCTATCACCCCCACCCAAATGGTGAGCTGTGGTTCACGCAGTATGTTTATAATCGTAGAGCTGGGTCAAATTAGTGACAGCTTTAAGGGGCAGATAATTTAGTTTTTAAACTATTTGAAACTAAGGGGAGGTAACAAGTTCTGCTTGATCTGTTAATTGTCGTCTGTAAACTGTCGTCACGGACAGCTGCTTTCACAGGGGAGGGTACTATCAAATTTACAAATTATGAATTACTAAAAAGTAGAAAATAAAACAACCATATAGTGGTGTATGCTAAGCCGCAGGTCGGCTAGTGTGTATTTAATAACAGTGTTACAGTTACAACAGTAGAGTTGAGTAGAGTCAGTAAGTAAGTAGTAGTAAGTACTAAGTTAAGTAAGTTACTAAAGTAGTTAGTAGTTCTTTGAACTTCAACTTCGTAGATCTTGTAGGTCTACTAATTACTAATCTAATTAAATCTAGGTAATCTATTATTTTACGTATGTAAAATCGGCTGAGGCTAGTAATGTGTGACAAAGTTGCCTCATTGTTAAGGCTTTAATAGAAGTATATTGTGATATATTTGTGTCAAATATTATAGATTGAACAATAAACCAAAATTAATGGCTAAATATATCAATATATATATATATATATATATATATATATATATATATATATATATATATATATATATATACACTTATAGTATATATATATATATATATACACTTATAGTATATATATATACTTATATATATATATACTTATATATATATATACTTATATATATATATACTTATATATATATATACTTATATATATATATACTTATATATATATATACTTATATATATATATATACTTATATATATATATATACTTATATATATATATATACTTATATATATATATATATATATATATATATATATATATATATATATATATATATATATATATATATATATATATATATATATATCAATATTCCAGAAATTATCTTTAAACAGCAGTATTTGCGAGCAATATTTGCTATATAATATTTTATAAACAGCAGCCATTTGTAAAATAGAGTGGCTTCCCCTGAATCCCCCGCAATAAGTTTACAAAAAAAAAACTTAAGCATTGTTGTATCTGATGAAAACATCCTTAGTATTTATTTATTACTGAAAAGTTTTAATACAATCGTTTAAAAACAGGTACATGAATGAAACTTTGAAACATTTTTGTAACTTTCAAAACATAAATCTTACTAAAAGTGTGAAATAAATAATAAAATTTAATGAGGCACCTTCTTTTCACATTAATACTAGCCTCAGCCACTTTTACGTACCTAAAGAGATAGATGGTAATCTATCGTTTTAGGTACGTAAAATTGCCCGCGACTAGTATTATATTATAATAATATTTGACACAAATATTTCACAATATACTTTTTCGTACATTACTAGCCGCGGCCGATTTTACGTACCTAAAGTCATTGATTAAAGTAAAGTGTCCTAAAGACTAGTTTCCCGCGGCTAGTAATGTACGAAAAAGTTACCTCATTTTCAACGCTTTAATAAAAGTATATTGTTATATATTTGTGTCAAATATTATAGATAAATGAATAATAAACCTAAATCAATGGCTAAATAGATCAATATACTACTATAGGCAAGAAATTAACTTTAAACAGCAGTGTTTGCGAGCAGGATTTGCTATATAAAAAGCGGCCATCTGTAAGTTAGAGTGGCTTCCCCTGAATCTTGTGCTATAAGTTTACAATAAAAAAAATAAACAAGATGGTTGCTATAGTAAATGAGCAAGGTTGCGTTTGTTGGAAACATCGCTAGTCTAAATTTATTACTGAAAAGTTTTAATTCAATTGTTTAAAAATAGGTACATAAATGAAACAAGGAAACATTTTTGTATTTTTCAAAATATAAATCCTCCTCAAAATGTGAAATAATTATTAAAATTTAAGGAGTCACCTGTTTTTCACATCACTAGTCGCGGGCGATTTTACGTACCTAAAACGATAGATTACCAAGAGTCTTACTCTTACAAAATACAACTTACTTACTTTATTTAGTAAGAGTAAAGACTAAAGTCCTAGACTAAGTCACTAAAGTAAAGCGATAGATTACCCGGATTACCGAAAGAAGGCATCTTGACTTCATTAAATGTCTTAAAGTCTTAAACTCGACATAATGTCATGATAATATGCTTAACTAAAACTATCAGATCTGTAGTATTTCTAAAGCGAACTAACCTGAAGTCTAATTTCAACGATTAGGCCTACTGTTTAAAAATGAAAGTTAACCAAAATGTCATCATAGGGCGCTACCATCTTTATGACCTTTAGCCTTTAACCCGGTGATAAATTAAGATAACACACCATGTTAAAAAGATCACAAGTAGATATATTTATTGCATACAGTACAACTGGTAGTGCTTTCTAACTAATATCAAACATGATTCACGTATTTTATAATTAAAAGTTTCTCAAATCGTATTTACAAATTCTCGTTATAGATCTAGATCTAAATTCTAGAATTATTGCAACACAAGAATTTTTTTAACACGGTGCTACACCGATCTATTTATATTTGTATTTTTATAAGCGACCGAATGATGATTAGTTCGCTTGTAGTGCTAAAAATAATAAATCTTCATAATCTAAATCATGGATTTCCACGTTCTTTATTTTTCACTGTAAAGAAAAAAGAATTACACATTGTCTCAAGTTAATTCACTCGCTATTGATATTTCTACTCAAGCAATATTTTATTTCAAAAATGGCAACGAGAAGTCTAACCGAAGTGTTTATTTTGATGAGAAATAACGCCCTCCAAAGCAGACACATTTTCTCGGAACAGGTAGATCTAGATTTAGAATTTAGATCAGCTAGATTCCTAGATCTAGAATCAAGATTCTAGCTAGATCTAGATCAAAGTACTTTGGTACTTTACTAGACTAGATCTACTACACTACTAGTTTACTGTAACAGTAAAGTTAGTAAAGTAATAAGTTAATCTTGTAGATCTAGTACCAGCTAGTCACTAGTCCCACTACTATGACTATACTATACCGAAGTTTCTATTGACTCTATTCGCAGTCGCAGTCGACTGGGAATAGTTATATTTATTATTTAGAGCATTAGGCCTTAGGGCTATTCTCACTCATCATTTTCGTGACTGTTTTTGATAGATATTATGTTAAAAAAAGACAACATTAATAATTAGGCATGAATTTATGTGGCCAAGTGGAAATTTGGGTGACTGTTTTGCCGGAAGGTGCGGGTTTGAACCCATCAGATGCCTTGTCTTTTGACACTTAATTTATGCCCCCTATTATCAAAATTTTTATTTTTTCCCGTTGTTCATGAAAGTGTTACGTTTGTTGATATTTTAATAGTTTGTGATGTGATTAATGGCATATCTGCAAAAAAAAATAAGACCTGTCCCTTAGATTTTTGCTAAGAAAAAAACAACTTGGGAAAAGCCTGATGGAAGCAGTGAATTAACATTATAGTTCATTAATAATTGAAAAAGGATATCCTATTTCACCTGATATTTGTCATTATTTGTTCTATGCACATTTTAAATGGTAATTGACAGTTGAATAGCAATATGAACTACTAACTAAACTTATGCATAGGCCTAATTATTACTAATTAATATTATTTATTTAAAAATTACTAGATCTATTAATTAGACTAGTATAGATTTAATTAGAGTGCATAATGATAATTGATCAGTTCATCTACGACCGACAAAGCAGGTATGAGCCTAAAAGATAAACTTTAAACCATAATATTTTTTAAAATGAAAATGTAATACAATAAAAATGGCACTGCTCTCTTAATCTATAATTCACTCCTCAGTCACAATAAATGCTTTTATTATCGTAATATATTATTCCCAGTCATAATTAGCACAAAATGACAGCCGACTGGGAATAGCCGTATACAGCTTTTCCCAACCGGCTGGGAATAGCCGTGACCGTACTATACACTCTCTCTGTCTATACTTACTAAGACTATAGCCTACTTATAGTATAATACTAGATCTAGGTACTGCATTGTAAATTCATAATTCATAGTACATAGATAGGCCCCTACTGACTAATTAATTTTCAGGCAATTCCAGTTGTTTTATTTAACTGCAAGACATTTAATTAATATTTATAATCAACTGTTTACTTCAGCACAGTTTGTGATTAAATCACAACACAAATATAAAAAATAAATTATGGAAAGTAGGCCTGGCCTAACTCTTTCATGAATAACAGCATAAAGTAAAAATTGGATAATATGAAGAATGCCAAAGGTATGAAGACGTTTGTTAGGTTTGAACATCCGGTATGACAGTCACACATATATCCACTCAACCAAGAAGCTTCATGCATTATACTTTTTAACATTTAATAAACATATAAAAAACAGTCATGACTGTGAATAGCCCAGTTGACTGGGAATGGACACTTCATTTAATTAATCAAATAAACTCTCACTATACATGGTTGCTTGCATAGTAAAATAAAACATGTTTTAGATCCTTAATGTTATGATAATGATTTGCTTCGATAAGTGAGGTGGGAATATAAAATGTGAGGGTGGTCTAAGTCTATGTGCTTTGGGAATGTTTTATAGGATGGGGGGGGGGGGGGGGAGATTAGGTATTCTGAGTTAACCGGCCTATAATTTTTCAGATTCTGTTGTTTTAAAATTAAAGTAGCATATACTGTTCTGGTATTCTGTTTAAAAGGATTTTAAAAATAACATCAATGTATTAAATTTTCACCCCACAAATTTAAGTGGCACCTAATAAATATGTGGATACATTGTTTGTTATTGATTGTATTGTTTAAATTAATAATGTGTTTACATTTTATTTAGACTGCTGATGATCGTACATCACTTATGTCCAGTGCTCATCTGGATCCAGAGATGGGAATGGCTTCTGCAAGATCAGGAGCTTTACCCCCTGAGTGGTAAGTTTTCATTCGCAGCTTCTTTTAATTTTTCTACTTCTACATATAATTTAGCTAACTAAAATTAAACCTTATTTTTCATTAAACACAGTTGATTATGTAAATCTGCCTCATGATGACTGATCCCTTTTTTCACTATTTTAATATTATTATTTCAGGATTGACAAGCTGACAGAAATTCAGTTTGAATTCACTAAGATAAAAGAGAAAAGTAAGTCTTTAATACATGTCTAAAACGCTAGCTTTTGCTGTGACAATATTGAGTTTTGTAATGAAATTTCAATGTTTTCAACCTTTTCTTAAAGTGAAAGAATTATCATCATTACATGACAAACACTTGAATCGTCCAACCATGGATGACAGTGTTGATGAAGAACATGAGATTGAGATAAGAACTCAACAGATTACGCAGGTACAATCAGTTAATTTCTTTAAAGTTTAGACAGCTATGGTTTATATCAGTATAAAAAATCACTATGTATTTAAGAATTTTTAAATACATTTTTGTACAATTTATATTGAAAATTAATTTTATTCTTATTTATAGATGTATGTATTTTGCTTCAGATGTTTTCCCACTGCCAGCGACTAGTGCAGCAAATAAACAATCAAAGTCACAGAGGTTCAGGTCATGAACAAAAACTCACACAAAATATAGTTGCCTCTGTGGCAAGGACTATGCAAGAGATGTCCACTAATTTTAGAAAAAGTCAATCTGCATATTTAAGAAGTAAGCTATCTTTAGACTTGTTTGTGAATGTTAATTTCTAAAATTGCTTCATATCACTAAATGATATTACTACCACATATAACTTGATCTTTTCTATCAGAAATCAAAAGTAGAGAGGAGAGATCTCAACAGTATTTTGGTACACATCTAAACTCAGATTCCAATCTTCTTGGGGATGGGATAGGTGGTGATCAAGATATTGTTTATGATAAGGTAACACATTGTTTACATCAGTGCTGTGTTCATGTATCTAGTTTTGTTGACACATGTTTTACCCCTGTATAGACATCAATATGACCATGTATCTAGTCTTGTTGACAAATGTTTTGCAGGGTTTTACAACTGTACAGATGCAGATGGTGGAGGACAACACAGAATTTTGTTCAGCAGAGAGAGAAAGAGGTGGCATCCATTGTACGCTCCATTACAGAACTTAATGAAATTTTTAAAGATTTAGCCTCTATGATTGTTGATCAGGTACATATTTCTAATCCAATTTATTCTGGGTCACTCTTAGGAAGTTAGGATGGTTCTTTTTTAAAAACTTTTTAAGTTTCATTCTTTTTATTTGTTTATGAAATGTGAAACATTCGTTTAATTTATATTGGGGTTGACTAAAACTAATAATCTTATAATTAAAGAGAAAACTAAATTTGCATAACCCAACAAGCCCTTTCTTCATGACTTGCCATTTTAAAACAAATGTTTATCCTTTACATTTCTAAATAAAATTGACAGCATTCACACATTATTTGTTTTTAAAATTTGAAAATCACACTACCCTTTTGGTCTACTAATTTGAAAATGGTCCCATCCTTTTGGTTTACTAATTTAAAAATGGCCCCACCCTTTTGGTCTACTAATTTGAAAATGGTCCCACCCTTTTGGTTTACTAATTTAAAAATGGTCCCACCCAATGAGAAGTCGTTGTTTACAGGACAAATGTTAAAAATAGACATCACGTCCGTGTGAGATAAAATATTTTTCAGATGCATTTTAGCAGTTTGGAAGTTTTCTATTTCAATCCTTGTGATCCTTGTAGTTTTATTTTACTAAGACCAACTTACTTACTGTATGGTTTTTTGCACAGGGCACAATTTTAGATCGAATTGATTACAACATTGATAATGCAGCCACACAAACAGAAAAAGGCCTTGTACAGTTGCAGAAAGCAGAGAAGTATCAGAAAAAGAACAGAAAAATGATGTTTATATTGATATTAGCTGCTGTGATAGTCATTCTTCTCATTATATTTATTGCAGTTAAGAGCTAGCATTAGAAAAAGTATGTTTATATTTAGCTTTTCCACCTGAGATTAGAAGCATTTGTGTAAAATATTCCACTATGACATTTGTAAACACAGCCTTTGAACAAAGTCATGTAAATTCTGTTTTCACCTCAAGGTATTGCTTATAATGTACTGGTGACTATCCAGATGGACTAAAGTGGGGGTTATCAGTGAGGACTTAATCCAGGAAAGGAAATAAATGTCAGTGTTAAAATTTGCCAAATAACTCAAGAACTGCGTTCAACATTTGTCTGCAACTTCAAGCCACCAGAAACAAGTTCATTGTAATTTTTTTTTAAACAAAATGTCACTTGTTTTAATCAGTAAAATCATAAGTTGAAAACTAGATATCAATTTCAATAGCATTCCACTTGTTTCAATTCCTGCAACATTCCGTCATGCCATGTTGACCGTCATGTTACCTGTGAGGCTTAGTTTTTGAAACAATGATTTAACTTGCTTGAAATTATTTACAAAAAATAGCTTCACTTTAGTTAGTTAACTTGCTCACAATTTTTTTCAAACAAAATACAAAAAAGCAAGTGTAAGTACTAAAGTCTGATACATAATTGTGGCATTAATCTGTTTTTTTTTTCAGCCTGCCCTCATAGGCAAAGAGTAGATAAAATATAACTTATTATTTTTAAAAGCATTTTATACAATTTCCACCACATAATATTTCTTATAGACATTTACCAATTTTCCCCTCATCACTATGATCTTAAAGTAAGTTAAAGACAAGAATCATCTAGGCATGTTTTTGTTGTGTGCAAATACAAAGTTAAAATTTCTCATTTTAAAAGATGTATGTGAACAAAAATCTCATAATTTTCTAATTCATACTCTCTTGGTTTTTTTCTCTCTTGATAATAGGCATTTCTAGGACTAATTATTTTACTTGAAACATTATTCTGTTTGGTCATAGGTCTAAAAATATGTTTCTAATTGCAGAAAAATTTGCATATGCTCGTTAAAAAAAATTCTTATGAAAAACTTAAACTTTGTGTGTCAGCTTTTGGTTCAAGTTCCATGAATTATTGTATCTACCACCAGAGATTGTGTACCTGCATGTTTGTTTGACACAGATTGTGTACCTGTGTCCGTTTTTGGTTTCAAGTTCCATGAATTGTTATCACAACATATTGCATGCAGTATTATTCTTTTTTTGATGAGCTGGTCTTATCATTTTTATGATTTATTTTTACCTTTCTGCTAAGTTCATCTTGATTTTTTTTTTTACAATACCCATGTACCATTTAACCATTTCAGATTACATTCAATATTATGGTTGAACTTTTCAGTACATGAGTAAATACCAGATCAACTGTTTTTTAATAGAACAGATGTAGACTTCCCATGTTTTTATCTGCAGGTCAATGATCTTGCTGGCACAATAGATTCCCACTTAATTTATATTTCACACATTCTAGACTTCAGAATCTATTGAATATTATTACTGTTATTTTATATGTTAATTTCTAAATAAATTTCAGATTGATTTGGCTTATTGTGAGTTCTAGGTCCTTGTTAGTATTACACAGTTTGTTTATTCCAGAATGCTTGTACATTTTGTAATTTTATTACGTCTGGTTTGATCAGGACTTGGATGAACTTTACTTGAAACTACATTTTATGAACTCCTCCCATTCTTGCATAATACACATTTTCTCTTGTCCTTGGCTCAACTCAGATAAAATATAATAGGTGGCCCTCAGGGTGTGATTAGCAAATATTTTCTATAAGTATTTATATGAAACTCATTTATTTTAGGGATTAAGCAAGAGAATGCATTAGTCTTACTACTCTTAATCTGAACAGTTTTAATTAAAATTTCGATAAGCTACTCGTTAAAATTTTTTTTTTAAATTGTTTTTTAAATTGCTGATGGACATTGGTTGGTTATCTTTTATTTTACATTTACTACTTAGCACTCATAAATCATTGAACATTCAAGATTTTTATTGTATGTAGTTTTAGACCTATGATTTTCTGATCATATGTTCTCTCTTTGGCTCAATTAGTTGTCATAGTAGTATTAGTACAGTTACAAATATTGCTTTCTCCATACAAACTTATTTATGAGAAATTTGGTTTGGTTGTAGCGTTCTTGCATTTTTAGCTGAGTTATGCAATAATTACTTTGGTGTTAACCTTGTACAAATGTAAACTAGTGGAATGTTTGAAATAAATAGTCAATAATTAGATTAATGGATTAAAATGACAGGTGGTGCACCACACTAAACAATTACCATTACTGTTACAGTCTACCTAAAATGAATCTGTGTAAGGGGTCATCCATAAATGACGTCACGCTTTTTTGGACAGACCCCCCCCCCCTAAATTGACGTCACACCTCAGCCTCACCCCCCCCCCCCCCCCCCTCAAAATTGCAGTTTAATTTCTCTTAAAACATCTATATTTTTCTAAAAACTCTGTCAACATAGAGTATTTAATTCAATTCCTATTACAATTTATTAAAACAGTTTTCTAAAACGCGAAAATAACAGCTAAAACTCGTTTTCTAACATTGCTTTTTAACTCAAAAGTGTGACATCACACCATCTGAACCCCCCCTCCCCCTCATCACACCACTGTCACAAAATTACGGACCCCCCCTCCCCCCTACAAGTGTGAAGTCATTTATGGACGACCCCCTAAGCTCTATTTTTTAAAAATGTCTCCATTTGTACAATAATGTACATGTTTGTGCTAATGATGTTAGTGAGGATATAAATGTGCAATTTTACAATTTAAAGCTTTTCTATGTATAGTATTGGCCCTTATTTATTCCTATCCTTATAAGCTCTAGTAATATTTCTCCACCAAAACATGTCATAGTTTAGGAAGATACATAATTCAAAAATAGGAGTGAAGGTAATTGTAAATTTTATTTAAATTCATTGCTACTTTTTAGTTTGCCAAAATTGGGTTCCTTCTTTTACAAATCAAATTATTACTTTTCAAGAATGTTACATGTTTACTGTTACATTATTCTGTATGAAAAGATAATGTTTTAATAGATTTCTAAGTAATCAAAACATTGTGACCAAAAAATAGTTTCCTGTACTCATACTTGTTTTTTTAAGTATCACAGCAAACTTAAACAGAATAGTACGATACATTACTAAGTGGAAAAGTTTTGAATATCAAAACTATTAAATGTCAAATACTTGAGGAGCTTGCTTATTGTAAGAGTAATAACTAAATTATTGTGATTATTTTTTTGTATTTGTAAAACTGTGGGATTATTATTGCAAAAATAAATAAATTATTTATTGAAAATTAAAAACTTGCGTTTAGTTTATACTTTTTGTTGTTCTATACTATCATAAATGTTTTCACCAGTTTTTACTTTCCTTTGGATGTTACAATTTGGGTACTTTATTATCTATTAATAAAATAAAATAATAAATGTATCTATTACACTGAATTGTATTTTTGGCTTAGCCAGTCTAACCAATTCCTGGTGATGTTTTGTGGACTTGGATCCTTGTGAATGGTAAATGTGGGATCAGCACAAAAGGCTGAAAAAACAAATACTACAGACCATATAGCTCTAGAACTATATGGCTGACTGA